TTTTTTAAGGCCCATTCACAGGACTGTGCATGAACACAACACTGTGTGGAAGATGCTGCAAACAGTGCCAGATTTAACCTCTCAGCTAACGGATGATCATCTGAAGGCACTTAGTCAGAGTGTCATTTCTGAAACCTGGATAAAAGGCAGCACAGGTAATACACAAATCTGCAGGGAAATTTGATGAAATAAACATATGTCACTATTTTTAATTCTCTATCATTACGTTGCTTAATATTTTCTTTCACATGTTAAAAGTGTACTGTTTGTATGTAGATTATTTATAAAGTTATAAGTAGTGACATGAATACCATCTCTTGTTTCAGCACTTACATTTTAAAGATTATACCAATAGTTCTCCACCTTGAGCATGCATCAAAATCACCTGGAGGACTACTCAAAACACACAATTCTGTTCTCAGCCCCCCAAACTTCTGATTCAGTAGGCTTGGGATGGGATCATTTTGCATTTCCCATAATATACTGGATGATGGTGCTGGTACGTGGACTATGCTTGGAGAACTACTCATTAATATTCACATTTTGTACCAATCTAGCCTTGGTTTTCATAGTTAAGATAGCAAATAGTCAAAGTAATTATTTAATTGATCCAGATATTGATGCAGATTTTTTTAAAATCCAGATCAATTTTAGTCTCTATTTCCTTATCAATATATAAACTGAAAAAAAGAAAAAAAAAAAAAAGAAAGAAAGAAAAAGAAAAACAAAAAGGAACTCTGGTATATAGCAAACAAATTAGTAGAAGTCTTTTATTTCTTACATTTTCTTAGGGGGTGGTAGCCACATATGCACACATGTGTGCACACTAACACTCCAACTAGTGGATTTCAACAGTGCATTTTTTTGCATGGATTTAGCACTTGTTAGAAAGGAGAAACTAAGATGTATTTAATGCATTGTCTGTGTCAGGGACATTGCTTATTTACTCCTTGGAGTTACAAACCATGATAGATATTTTTATTATTCTCTAAAGAGGAGGACTCCAAGGCATAACGATATCATTACTGATAGAATTGAGCTCCAAATATAGTTAAGACTTGACAGTAAACTTGTTCTCTGCCAATTATGCCACTGTTTGCATAAAGTAAGTCATAAGGATTATGACACTTAAAACGTAGCTGGAATTTTGGAGAATTTGTCTATTGAAAAAAGTTTACATCTTTTATCACAATAATAATAATAATAATAATAATAATAAACATAACTCCATCATCCAGGTGTTGAGCCAAGAACTCCAGATCGATTCCTAAGGGTGGAAGCTTTCCCCCCCAAAAAAAAGAAAAGAAAAAATTTACATTGTTTGAAAATTTTCCCTCAGTGCTCCTCCTCAGAGGAGCCACTCTCAGAACCCACCAGCCACTCCTCAGAAGGAAGACTGGGCAATCTACTTCTTTAAGATACTGCCTCAGAAACTCAAAGAGGGTTCGCTGTGAGTTGGAACTGACTCAATGGCAGTGAGTTTGGTTTTGGTTTTGGTAATCAGAAGTCAAGCAGTGAAAATTAAATTAAAGTAGTTTTACAGAGGGTAAAATGTTTTCAAAAGAGAAAAATACATTTAGCATTACTTTGCCATTAGCTTGGGGATAGTAATTTAAAAATTAAATTGTTTTCTTATAAATCCCTGAAATTTTATTTACAATGGTAAAACATTTCAAAACAACCTAAATGTTTGCCAAGAAAAG